TGGTTATATCAGTTTTCTTCTTTTTTTTTTTTTTTTCCCCTTTGGACTTTATGAGATAAGAGGATAAAATCTTTGTCTAAAGATTTGTGCAACATTTTCTTGGAGTCTATATTATACTTTTATGGAACGATTAAAAAAAAAAATTACTTTAATCACTGGGGGGTTTTTGATAGTTTGTAACAATGTCTTGCATTTGTGAGGTATATTGAATCCTTGGAGTTGCCAAAACAGCCTTTCAGCAGGGCTCTTACCCTAGAAGCAGCAACTGTAACGCAGACATATGTTGCAGAATCCCAATTAATGAAATGAGGCCGAGCAAGGGCACGTTGGTCTGTAAGACAAATGGCTGATTTTGCAAGACCAAGTGATCATGCAAACTTGTACGTTGGGACCACTTCATGGTAATACTAAAAAGTGGGTACGTGATGCTGTACAGGTTACAGGAAGTTAAAAGATGAACTCAGAAAATGTTTCTGAGGTGTTAAAATGTAACGTGTTTGGGGGACAGAATAGAGTAAAAAGGCAGTGAGAGATAAATGTGTATTTAATGATTAACAGTAGGACTTAAGTCATTTAATATCTAAAAATGAGTGTCAAGAAGTAAATGTCCTTTCTTCTAGGCACTGTCAACAATTACCAAATAAGGTTGCCTGTTTGTTGTACTTGAAGTCCAGGCAATTGTAGTATGTTAAGAATCAGAGTTTTGTTAAACTTAGGAGTGGGTGTATTTATATAAACTCTGAGTGATATTTTTAGATTTACATAGAATTTCTAATGTTAATATTCCTTTTATAAAATTTGTCATGTGTGTCTGGAAATGACATTGTCACTGTAGTGATAAGAAAAACAACCCAACAAATTTCCCTTTTGATTTAAACAGCAAAAAGTTCAGAAACTAAATTGGAACTTGTTTCAGAAACAAACTAGATTTGGATTATTTCCATTTCAGTAATCCTAGGTAAGGTAAGATTCATTAGGAAAGAAATATGGAAAAGTGTCTTTCTAGTGGAATTTTATATCCAACAATGCTCTCTTTTTATTTCGTTGTTATGTAGTAGATACTGCAAAGAGGAATAAACTTTGGGTTTTATTAATAAACTAGCCAGAGTCCTATATCCTCACCAGAAATTTTTCTCATGAAAGAGAAAATTCATGAAAGAAGATTAATCTTCTTCATGAAAGAAGATTAAAACGTAAATACTCCAAACCTCCTCATGTTATAGTGCTCTGAACATGTATTCTACAACTGTTTCATACAGATGACATTAGCTTCTAATTTATATTCCCTCTCTGTCTTTCTCTGGTTTGAATTATTGTTCACCTGCTGTGTTTCCAGTGGATTTTTTTTGTATGCTTTAACTTATGGTGGAAACTCTCCCAGTCTATCTTGAAGTGCTTCTCTTGTATTTTTAGAGTCAGGTCAGTGTACTTTGGCAAATGCAGTCATTTTTCATTTGCCGAGTTCAGAAACGTGATCTTTTACAGTAGCCATTTGGCTTGCATTTTCCTGGTGTGCAGTTGCTCCCACTAGATTTATAGATTTAGTGTTTAAAGTATTTGAGTAAAATTTCTTTCTTATTGCTTGTTAGTGAGATTTACACACAGTATTTATACACAGTACATAGACCTTACCAGTTTCCTGCACTTACTTCTTTCATGGACCTCCTCTGCTCCCAGTTGTCAGGAAACTTTCAGGTCCCAGTGTGCCTTCTGCTTCTCGGAGGTCCGGTTTCACCATCTCTTTCAGCGATGCTTATTCTTTATGTAACTTGGTGGGATTTGTGCTGGATCCCTAAACACTTATCTTCATGTCCATGTCATCTTCACGTTCCGCCAGACCCTTTTTATTTAGGAAGACTACTTGAAAATGGGTTCTTTGTTTCTTAACCATTCATCTGTTGCCACTCTTGATTCTTAGATGTAGTAAATGTCAGTGATTCAGTCATTTTCAGGACAACCTGTTGGGATATCATAGAGGTCATGATTTAAAGGAAGTAAACAGCTAATATAGATGGCTTTTAAGTAACAAAGATACTGTTTTCCTGTAAATGTCTAGAAAGCAAAGAAACAAGAAAGAAAAAAGAGGTATTTGAATGCTTGCAGTTAGATCACAGCTGATTTTTATATCCTTTCAGTTGTTTTGTTTGCTACTCATAATGCATCTAGGGTTGATTTGGAGACCTGACCTAAAGGACAAGGGTGTAGCAAGCCTGGACAGGCATCTCTAGATTCTGCTTACTTAACGCCAAAAGTCATGTTATATCCCAGTGTACTCACAGTCTTCCTTCTGAACTCTAAATCAAAATGAAGGTGGGGTTGGTTTGGCCTGTTGTGTTGGTTGGGTTGGGTTTTTTTTAGCTTGTTTTTTTTTTCCCCTAAAAAGTTTTGTCTCAGTTTAAGTAGTTCAAGTGACATTTCAACAATTTTGAGCTTGTTCCACACTCAGAACAATGCATTTGTTTTTTAATTTTGTTTGAATTTGCACTTGGGCTTCCACTTTAGGATTTACAGACTACGCTCACAAGCGACACAATATATGATGAGCAAATGTAAGTTTAGTCATTAGGTGCTGGTTTATGGTGCTCCTTTGTATATGTGCAGTGTGATTTGCAGATGAACAGAACCCAACAGCACTTGTTATAGACCTAGTTATGTTAAACAGTATTCCATGGACAAGAGCAAATGTTTGAGAAGGCTTTTCAGAATAAGATTGAATTTTTTTTGTTTATTGTTGTGTTTTGGTATATTTTTGATATTTTAAATTGGTTCTATCTTAGTAGGTCATAGGGCCCAATCAGCCCATGGAGAAATAATTAGGAGAGGATCCCAGTACAGACTAAGGAATGACCTTCTTCTAGGAGAGCAGGTTCAGTGCCTATTGCATTACATCATTTTGATCTTTCTTCTCTCTCGGCCATCTTTATTCCATTACATTACTGATATTCCTATGGATTTCTCTATCATCCTTCTTCATAACTTAATGATTTATTTATTCTTCATAGTTACTAAAAGCTGAGGGTTTTTTAAGTAGTTGTTTGTGAAGATACAGATTTTATCTTTTTGATGAGTCTCCAGCTATCTGGTGTTAAATATATGGAATTTAATTTGGAAAAAAGGAGCTTTTTTTCCACTTTGGTTTTAGGGACACAGAAATTCATTTAGTTGCCTCTTCCACGTGCTTTCCTCGTGTTATATGTCGAGATATAAGAGCCAGTTATTCCTTGTGTCCATTCCATAAAATGATGCTAGTGTTTTTTACGATGTGTTGAACTCCTTAGTTTTAAGGAAGTTTTCTTGATTTTGATATTAATTCCCAGCAAATATATATAGATCCAAGTCGGTAAGTTTTCAAGTATTAAGCTACTGTGCAAGATAGGCTGAAGATTCTGGTAGTAAGGATGTGTGAAAAATCCAAGTGTCTTTAGTGTATAGTTTGTGGGCTGGCAGTATTTCCATCTGCCTTGAACTAACATGCATTTTGATTTTGTACAATGGACTGTGTTGCTGCTGAGTGTAAATGAAATCACGGTGTGAAACGCTAAGAGTCAGCACTGCTGAAAGCAATGTATGTTAAAGTACAGCATCTGTGAATACAAAGCTGCCCTTCTGGGACACTGTGCAAAATGATGTAACTGAGTGAAAAAGCTCTGCAAAAATATATTTCACTTGCTGTAATTGAGTGTCTTTGCTGCAATACCTTCATGAGGCTTGTGTATGATGCTTTCTTGACTGTGCAGTGGGATTGTATTGTATGAAAAAAGCTGTTGACAATAACAGCTAGAGATACTGAAGTTTTATTTTGCTGCCCTGCTCCTGTGCTTCAGCACTGCTCCAAAGAGGGGACACTAAGGAAAGCCTTTAATGCTTGTGGGGTAAGCTTGCAAAGAAACTATCTTCTGAAAAATTTAGGTTGCCCTTTTAAAATGCTTAACTGTTTGTACACTTGCAAAAAGTTCAGATAATCACCTGTTCCTTTCTCCCAACCTTATCTAAGTATTCATATCCCTGCAGCAGCAACATGATGTTAAAGTTTTGTGCAAAGCACAGTGGAATAGTTTAAACATCTTTGTTTTGGTGAATTAATTTCTGTAACTGCTGAAACTCTCTTAGTTCTTGGATTAAAAATCTTGTACCGGTAAAAGTGTTTGTGTCTGGAAATGTAAATGCCTTATGCTGAGTCTCAAAGTTTTAGGTACTGTGGAATTTGCATATCAAGGAATTAGACTGTAGAGGCTGTTGCTACTGAAACAAAATAAATGGTGTTCTTTGATAAATGTGATGTTAATGAGAGGTGAAAGCATGTAAGTAAAATTAAAGCATGTTGAAGTAAAATTTTGAGTACTTCTGCATTACTATTAGATTAGAAACGTTTGATAGTTTGAACGTACTAGAAATGTTTGCTAGTCATATCAACACACTGCTGTGATAGCAGCAATATACTGCTGAGACAAATCAAGTACTAAGCCACCTTTGCTTGCCATTATTATAATTAATATTCCAAAATAATGAACATTAAACTTAAAACTATGCATTAAGTCAGACTGTCCAAACTGTGAGTTGCTTCATGATTAAATCCTGTTTCAGACTGCACTCACAGTTATAACTTGCATTGAATTTTTGGAAGACCATGTATGACTAGGTGAGCTTATTCTTCTCGTAGCAAATGGCATTTATGAGAAAATACGATGGTTTTGTTTTTGCTGTGGATCTCAGTTACTTATCAGTGACTTTAAAATACAGGTCACATATTAGCCAGGTCATACTACAGGACTTTAAAGTAGCTTAGTTTCTAAAAAAAGATCCCTCTTGGCTATGTTTAACTAAAACCATCAACAACAGGATTCAAGTGCTTCTTAGATAAATCACTACCAGTTTGGAACAGGACAAGAATGCAATGTTATAATGCCAGGAACTTGTTTGTTTTGGTTTTTTCCCCTTTCTCACTGCTAGGATTTCAACAGGAAAATTTTCTTGACCTTGTGTCTGGGTAGTTCTTGAGGATGGCGAGCAAAGGACCCACGACTTCAACATCAACAAAGAACTCCAGTACTGGAGGGACGAGTGGCAGCAGTAGCAGTAATGGTGCTGGGGACAATGCTAATCAGGACAACACTTTCGAATGTAACATCTGTTTAGACACTGCCAAGGATGCAGTTATCAGCTTGTGCGGACATCTCTTCTGGTAAGTAGTCAAGCCCCCACAGATAAACCAGAACACCACATATCTCTCTGATCACATAAATGCCTATGATTTTTATAATTGTAGATGTCAAATAAAATGTCTTGTATAAAATGAGTAAGGACCATTGTTTTGGTTTAGGAGCAGTTTGGTTTTGCTTCTCAACTGTTTTTCTTTCCTCGTGTTCCAGGGAGTGGGTTTCTTGCATCTTAAACTTCCTGTACTTTTGGATTATTTTGTAAAAGCAAACAAACAAGCAGCCCCACATAGACAGTACAGTGTTCATTGATACTGTTTGATTATGTGTGTCATTTCACTTGTGCTGTCTGGTCTAGTATACATATCTTGTTCAGACCTAAATTCCTTTCTAACCTGTACATACCTAAACCTGCATCTGAAACTAGGTTCTGGAGGCCAAATTGTATTTTTCATACTTCCCACAAGCTTGCTCTTTTTTCCTTTGAAACCACAAAAAGATTATATAACAAGCTTTTACACGTGGGCTATTTCTCTTTCCCCCTGGTATTGCAGTTGTAATACTAACTTTTCAGTTCTTTGATCTGACTTGGGAATGTATTGCACAAATATAATAAGCATGCAGCGTTTCCTATTTGGGTAACTTTGTGTAGAATATACTCTTTCTTGAATATTACAAAGTTATTAAAGATTGACATGGCCAAATGTGGTGGTTTTTTTTTTTGTTTATTTTACACATTAGGCTAAGTTATGCTCTCTAATAAAAAGAGGCATTTCTCTTCTGTGTAAATGTATGTAACATCTGAAAATCCACAGTTTTATTTTAGGAGGAGAGGGAAAATCACTTGCTGATGGCATGTTAAGATAAAATTAAGATAAAATTATTGCACAAAAGGGTTTGGAAGAATGGAACCTTAAAAATAGCGTGTATCTTGAGTGAATAATGTTGTCAAGACCGCTTTGAAAGCAGACGGTTGCTTAGCAGTTTTATCTCATAGCTTGCTTTTTTGTCTTTGGCCTTTTTAAAGTTGCCATATGAATTTAATCTTAAGGGTAGTTCTGTGTAATGGGAATTTCTCTAACCTGAGCAACCGGATCTGATCTCAATAGCTGACCCTGCTCTGAGTGTTGAGTTGGACTAAAGGCCACCTGAGGTACTGTCCAGCCTGAATTAGTCCATGATTTTGTGAGCGTGGCTGATGTTTTAGCTAAATGTCTATTGCGTGACTTCTGTTAAGATCCTGAAGTCTCCTTACTGACATCATCCTCATTTGCATCTTGGCGTAGGGATATCTTTTCATGGTATCAGAAGAGAAAATCTGTCCAGTAAACACTAAGATTAATTAAGTCTCGGTATGGGCCTTTGGTGTGGATGAGGACCCAGGAATCAAAGGTGATATGCAGAGTATCATGTTAGCGACTTGGATTGTGTAATCTGAAAGAGCCAGCGAAGATCAGGCTTGGGCCGTGCTTTCAAAAATTATTTTAATGGGAGGTTATAGAACTGGCCCAGCTGGATTCCAGGATTCTGTTGTCTCCAAGCTGTGCTATCTGTGGTACACTTTATACATTTGTCGGATTGAGTTGTCAGTAACTAATTCTCTTTTCCCCTCTTTTTCTGCTCCGTGAACAAATTGTCCTGGGAATGCTTACAGTTGGCCTTGTTTACACCAGGTAAGACAGGTTTCCTTTTACTTTGGCTTTCATCAGCTCCTGTTACTCAATAAAGCCCTTGGTTCTCTGGAGTATCGTACTCTTTTCAAATGTGCTTCTTTCTCTCCAGAGCAACAGCAATGTGCTAATGCAACTTCATGCGCAACACCTTGCAATCTGCTCTTTCAGGAAAGAGAAAACTTAGGTTCTGTTCCACTTGCCTCCCACTTCAGAGTTTCTTAAACACTGAGTATTCCCAGTGTGGTAGGAGAATTACTGTAGGCAGTTCACAGGGGTTTAGATTGCAGGCTTAAGTGCTGAGTGTACTTCTCTTTGCATATGTTGTGTTTTACCTTGTGGTACCATTATAGAAAATATAGACGAAAGAAGGGTACTTACACTAGCCCTTGGCCTGTGCAGGACGGTTGGGACTGTTTATTTCTTCATATTTTACTCCAGTGCAGTTCTGAATGTGTACACATCAGCAAGTGGATTGTACCAGAACAATAGCCAAGATGCCAACTTCACTTTGGGGAGTACTTGGCACTTATTAAAATGTTTTGCTCCATGGCTTTCTGAGAAATTGCTAAAGTCTCTCTGCCTAGGTGCAGATGAGGTTCGCGTGTTGTTGCTTTCATGGTCTTTAAGTAGTTCTCTTATATTTTCCTCTCTTTTAGTGGCTAGAGACCAGGCCAAACAGACAAGTGTGTCCTGTATGCAAAGCAGGAATCAGTCGAGATAAAGTTATTCCTCTGTATGGAAGAGGTAGCACTGGACAACAGGACCCCAGGTAAGAAACCTAAATATGACTGGTTTTGTGTGAAAACTAAAGATAAAACTTTAGTTTAAAGTCTTAAGATGAAACTATCAAAGTGCTGGATTCACAATTTGAAATACTTTGTCAAAAGACAGATAGAATGACGTTTCTGCCAAATATTTCTGGCTTTTTCAGGGCCTGGATTTGCACACCTTATTTCTTGTTCAACTGGCAGTTTATTTTCATGTGAATTGAGTGTTAATTATCAGTTACAAGTGGCAGGTTGCAATGAATGTTACCTGACTGGAGAAGCTCATATAAAATGTTTATGTCCTCAGTTTCTAGCCTTTGCAATGGGACTTTGTTATTCCAAGTGCAGTATCATAATTCAGCGATGTGATGCTGAGTCTTCATAAGTTGGGTGGTCTATGCACTCACACGCTACCTCCAGCTCTGCTGCAGCATGGCCCTGTGAGAGCATGCTCTGTGTTTGTTCTGTCTTATTAGCCAGGCTATCGCAGATACTATTGTCATGTATCCTTGCACTTGAGCTTATTTCACAACTCCCTGCAGAGAGAAAACTCCGCCACGACCCCAAGGACAGAGACCTGAACCAGAGAACAGAGGGGTAAGTGAAAAACAAGCTCGAGCAGATAAGTTGTTTTTATTGATGGTGATATTTATTCATCCTAGAGGACATAATGTGTGCATGAGATCCTGTGTGAGGATCCTATAGCTTACATTCTTGCTCATCCCCAGTAGGTTGTTCGTGAATAATTGATAGCTGTGGTGTGGCAGAAAACTCCATTCCTATAGTACTCTTTAGCATCCCAAAGAATGGGCTAACTGAAATTGTGCTTCATGAACAACAGCCCTCTGTGGCATCACTGAAAATGCTCTTCACACTTGATTGTTCTCCGTATATAAATACAAGGAACACTTCGCTTGAAAAAATCTTTGTGGAAGTATATTTCCATCAACCTATACCTGTCATGGAAATATATAATTCATGTGTGAACTTACATTTTTGGCACTGACACCTGCTTCTAGCATTTCTATGGGATGTTACTGTACCATGGCATTACAAGCAAAAGAATGTAGATATCTGTTGGCTGTGTGTTAATTTGAAGAGGGATCTGTGGTTTTGTTGAGATTACATAAAGTCAATGTAAAGAGCAGCTGGCATATGTTCAACAGTAGCCAGTAGGAGAGACCACAGTGTTCTTTAGCACGACGGCAGTGAGCATGACCTGATGAAACAATTGTGTATTTCCATGTAACTCGGCCTGTGGTCCTCGGAGAGCATTTGTATACCTCGTGCTTCAAGCAAACAGCTCTGCAGGGTGTGATTAAGGAACATTTCTGTATTGAATGTATTGGGAGCTCAGTTGTTCTCTGTCGCTAGGGAGTTGCCTTCTTATTAAATCAGCTGCTATACGCTGTTTGAACCTTTTGGCTGGTGCTGCTGTAAGTCAGAGGAATCTGGTATGAAGACAGCAGTAGTGATGCTGCCCTCCTGTTTCCTACAGGTGCAGGACCTGCCATGCAGCATGATTTGCTGTTGCTGATAGTTAACGGCAAAATGCTTGAGAAGAGTCATAGTCAAAAGACTAACTCCTCAAATCAAGGATCAACCCAGAAATGTCTGGCTTTTATTATAGGAGTGAAATCATGTTTGTCCTCCCACTGTTCGGAGGTGATAAACCAGAGGGTTTTTCAGAATTGGTATCACTGTTCTAGTTCTGAGACAAGAGGAGAGTTTGCTGGGTTACAGAACATGGCGACTGTGAGCTCTCCACAGTTTTTAAACATGATGCAACTACTTAGATTCATATACAGTTGGTTCTCAAATAGTACACTGCTTTTACACAGTAGGATTCATCTTGATTCAGACTTATCTTGTGGCTTGATGTGGTATTTTAGTCTGGATCCCATAGGGGTCAATGTTGTTGCATTGTAACTCTTCCTTTTTTCCTCCTTTCCTTATGTCTTGCATTCCTGGCACAGCTGCCTTT